TTGACTGGAATCCATTCTGGCACCTTTCATTCTGCAGGCTGACGCTCTATCCACTGACCCAAACCGGTGCTGGCCAAAGGTCAATCTTTACCTTCACTGAGACTATTATCTCGTTGAGTCTACAATAATATATGGCTGGAATGTCAAAGTAATTTTCCTTTTTCCGGACCCCTCAAAGCACAGGCACTGCTCTGGGGAGACCACAAATCCCCACACTGTTATTGTTGAGTGTTAATTATCCTGCACCCACCTAAATAGAAGAAGTATACGTTTATCATTTTACTCTTTATCCGCTCCCAGAGGTTCCCCCTCCTGTCCTCCTGCCTCCCTAATTTATCACCAATGGATTTCACCTAACTCACATCTTCTCTTTTAATTGTAATGTATAAAACAAGATGCAAAACTGCCATTCATTGAGATCCTGCTCCACTGTCCATTGTGGACAGTTTGGCTCAAATAAACTCACAAAAACTCTTCACAGGTTTGAATGTTCCTTACATTGACACTAGATAAGTTAGAGACAGATTAATTGGTTTCGCCATTTGCTGTGTGCTAATTCAGTCACTTTAAGTGATACTGTCGTGGCAAGTTTACACTTGGAGTCTATAGGAACATATTCACAGAGAGATTCAGTAGGCTTTTTATCATTATAACAGAACTGGGGACCAATAGCAGCCACTAAATAGTTCATTATGCTTCCTGAATGTGTCAGGGGTTGGGTTGATCCCACGTTAAAAGTTTAACAGGGTCACATTTCCCAAGAAGATAACGAGAACGCACAGCTGAAAGTATGGCATACTATTTCAACAGATTCTGTTGTGGAGAATAAGACAGAAAAAAAAAGGGGGGGGGGGCTATTTGTAATTAATCAGGCTGGGCATTTTTAACGTTTAGATTCCGACGGGTTAAAATCCACCACATCCAGGACTGGATCATGCAATGTTCTGTCGGTTGGGGATTATCGACGGGCGGATTTCTGCCAGGAAACTACGGTCAAGAAGTGACTCTTGGAAGAAAAACAAGCAGGTCCTCGTCCTTCCCAAGCACCGCGGGTACCGGCCGGAAGCAAGATGGCGCCTTCCCTCACCGACTGAGCCCCTAAACGTGAGTCACGCACTTAGGGGAGGCAGCAGGAGGGCATCTTTGCTGTTACCTAAGACGGTGAGCCGCGCAGCTTCACCGTCTCCAGGTCTCCATAGGGTTTCCCAACCCGCGCCACCACAGGTTAACCTCCGGAACCGAGGTACACTGGAGCGGAAGTGGCGTAAGCGGAAGTGGTCGCGTAGCCAGGACTGGATCATGCAATGTTCGGTCGGTTGGGGATTATCGACGGGCGGATTTCTGCCAGGAAACTACGGTCAAGAAGTGACTCTTGGAAGAAAAACACAAGCCGGTTCCTCGTCCTTCCTAAGCATCGCGGGTACCGGCCGGAAGCAAGATGGCGCCTTCCCTCGCCGACTGAGCCCCTAAACGTGAGTCACTCACGTAGGGGAGGCAACAGGAGGGCATCTTTGCTGTTCCCTAAGACGGTGAGCCACGCAGCTTCACCGTTTCCAAGTCTCCATAGGGCTTCCCAACCCGCGCCACCAGAGGTTAACCTCCGGAAGCAAGGTACGCTGGAGCGGAAGTGACGTAAGCGGAAGTGATCGCGTAGCGCCAGTCCCCGCCCCTACCCCGCCCCCATCTCTACTCCCCGCCCCCAGCGGCGGCGGAGAGCAGAGCCAAGATGGCGGCGGAGGTGGAGTACGAGTCCGTGCTGTGTGTGAAGCCCGATGTCAGCGTCTAC